AAGCAGCCCCTCTGGCGCCCTCACCGCGCGGCTCCTGAGCAGAACGCGCACGCAGTGGGGCCGCGCCCGGCACCAGGTTAGGAAGATACGCAGACCCCGGGCAGAGCAGCGCAGGCAAGTTGGATTCCATACATAGACCAAAGGCAACAACGGAGAAAACAGCGGGGGCGGGGGCAGAGACAATCCGTGTCGTGATTGTTGTTTCCAATCGTTTAATTTCTTGCATTTCCTCCGGGGAAAGCGCTTGAACCTGGGTTTTCCAGGACCCCGGCGTTAGCAGCGCTGTTGCTGGTACCGGCGCGTCCTGGCTAGTGTGAGCTGTCTGCGTGCCGGAACCGGGCTCTTTCGCTCGTTCCATTCCTTCTTTTCTGCATTAATTTGCACCCGTGCGTTAATGTACTTGGCAACTTTATGCGAGCGTGCCCCGGTGCGGGTGGCGCTAAGGGAGGGATTCGAGGTCTAATGTGACTCTGACGCCTCTGGTCACTGCAACCTTCAGACGGTCAATCCTCCGGAGCTCTGCCTGGCGCTTTCCAAGGCATCCCCGACGCCTGCTCCGGCCAGCGCTGGGCCCAGGACCAGCGCGGCCCGTTAGTTGTTGGTCCAAAGGCTCATCTGTCGAGGCTCGGCGGCGTGGTGAACCCGCAGGCAGCCGAACCAAGAAGGGCAAGACTTAAGGGCTGCGGTGCAGGGTCCTCCAGGTGCTTGGACCCGCAGCAGGATGGGATGGGGATCCCCGCAGGCAGGGAGAGCAGTCAGGGTGACGGGTCTGCGCGTGACGATTAGGGGCACAGTGAACACCCCGCTGCAACGGACCTGTCTGGCACACAGACCTGAGCCTTACTGTTCCGGTGTGAATTGCTTAAACTACGCTCTCTGCTTCTCTTAAAAGAGTTTTTCTTCCCCTCTTCCTTGCTTTCTTGCTTCCCTCCTTCCTTTCTTTTCTCCTCACCCAACCCCCTATCCCTCTCTTTCCTCTCTCTTCTCTTCCTCCTTCTTTCTCTTTTTCTCCCATCCCTCCCACCTTTTTCTTTGGCTTTTTCTTCTTTCTTTCTTTCTTCCTTCCTTCCTTCCTCCCCTCCTTTCTTTCTTTTTTGTTTCCTTCCTTCCTTCCTTCCTTCCTTCCTTCCTTCCTTCCTTCCTTTCTTTCTCTTTCTTTCCAAATATCGGTTTCCCGGAATACAGGACCTGAAGTCAGAAACCCCGGGTGCAAGTTGCATTTACCAGACCTCAGCCTCAGTTTCTTCACTTGTAAATGGGGGTAATATAGGATGGCTGATATAGTATTTGTGAAAGCAGCTCGTATATTTAAAGAACTGTGAAATGGTATAAAATAATGAATGGTTGAAATTTTAAATAAAATTGACAGCCAGGCCTCCAAAACTTTCCCCTGGAGGAGCTTTCCTTATTCTATTCCAAACTGAAGAATTTTGGTGACGCTGGGGCGCCAGAACTTGGGGCCAGAACAAGTTCTGGGCTGGCAGCGACTCAGCTGGTGGCCTTCATCTATGCACGGTTTTGTGAATGTGTTTTGCTGGTGCTTTTTGTCCCTGACAGCAGGCTGCAGGTGAAATTATCACCACCATCTTCTTTGCTCACACTAACTTGTCCATACTTTATTGATAGTCTTTGCAAAGGTCATTCTCTGGCTCATCCAAGCCTCTACACAGCCCTCTGCAAAGTCGGCAGCCCAAGTTGTAGTGTTAAACTGTTTTCCAGTGAAGGCGAGGCTGCAGCATGCAAGTGGCAGCGCAGAGACCTGAACATATATCTCTATCCCTCATGCCTTTGCTTCTGGGTTCCAGGGCTGCCCGGGCTCAGCTCCCAGCTCCCCACCCTCACCAGAGCCCCAGGCCAGAGAGCAGGGCTTCTAACAAGCCGCTGGGTCTCCCTCTGCCCTTGTGCCTTTTCCAGTCCCATCTCTCCAAGTGCCATTGGACTTTTCCTCATCCAAAGGGCGCTTAAATAAGTGCAAGGTAATGTGAAGAGCAAATGGGCTAACCCTGTTGAGGTGCATGCTGAAGAGCCAGGAAACTGGACCCAGACTTTCTGGCCACACTATCCCCCACCCTTCACAGTTGGTCTAATAATCAGAAACCTTTACTTCCCTCCAAGAAACTGTGTCCAGAGTTCCACTCTTTTAACCCACA